CCAATTTATTATTATTTCTATTGGTTTATTATTATTTCTATTATTTCTTTGGTTTATTGTGTTTTTGGTGTTACAGCTAAGAAACCATCACCAAATCCCAGGCCATGAAGCTTTCTCCCTATGTTTTCTAGGAGTTTTATAATTTTAGCTTTCATTGTAGGTCTTTGATCCATTTTGAGTTAATTTTATATAGAATATGAGGTAGGGGTCTAAATCATTTTTTCACTTGAATAATATCCAGTTATTCCAGCACCATTTATGTTTTTTTAAACAATTTTTTGTCATGCTTTATTTTTTCATTTCTTTTAACAGCATGACCAAAGACACAGTCAGTAGTCAGTAAACACATGTCTAAGAAAATGCCAGCACCATTTGTTGGAGAGACTGCTCTTTCTCCTATTGAATGGCTTTGGCATCCTTGTCAAAATCCAGTTGACCATAGATATATGGATTTATATTTGGACTCTCAATTTTATTTCATTAATCTATATATTTGTCATTATGTCAATACAACACTAACTTGATTACTATAGTTTTGTATGAAGAATTGAGATCAGGAGGTCTGAGTCCTCTAACTTTATTTTTCTTCTTCAAGTTTATTTTGGTTATTCTGTATCCCTTGCAATTCCATGTGAATTTTATAATCAGCTTTTTCCATTTCTGCAAAAAGTCCATTGGACTTTTGATAGAAGTTGCATTGAATCTGTAGATTTCTTTGGGTGCTATTGCCATCACAATAATATTAAGCCTTCCAGCCTACGAAAATGAGATTGCTTTCTATTTATTGAAGTTTTCTTCAATGTCTTTCAACAATGATGTGCAAATTTTGGTCTCAAAGTCTTGAATCTTCTGATTAAATTTATTCCTAAGTATTTTATTCTTTTCAATGCTATTGTAAGTCTAGTTGTTTTCTTAATTTGGGGGATTGTGCATTGCTTGATTGTAGAAATACAATTGTTATTTGTGTGTTTATTTTGTGTCCTTCAACTTTGTTGAACTCATTTATTAGCTGTAATAGTTTTTTTTTTTTGGTCGAATTTCTATATATAAGATCAGGTCAACTGTGAATATAGATAGTCTTACTTCTTTCTTTTTAATATGGATGTCTTTATTTTTCTAGCTTAATTGCTATAGCTAAAGTTTCCAGTATAATGTTGAATAGAAGTGCTGAAAGCAGTCATCTGTGTCTTCTTCCTGACCTTAATGGGAAAGCTTTCAGTATTGAGCATAATGTTTATGTGGGCATTTATTTATTTTAAAGTATTTTTGTGCTCTGAATTTGAAATAAGAAGTGAAACTGTGCAGGTAGGCCACCTAGGACAATCTCTGAAAGTCCATCCTTTCTCACAGATGATCACTGTTCATATTTTTCAAATTGATTATTAAATGTCCCTTAAAACTTTTTTAGAAAAATGACCTAGTAGATACTGTTTTTATTGCTAAAACAGGCAGCAAAACCTGATGTTTCATGTTACATTGGATAATGGAAGTTATCTTAGGTATTATAAATTTTTATTTTGGAACAAAGCATTTTGCAGTACCCCATTTTTGGGAATGTGATTGGTTATTTTGATATGCAGTTTTTGTTTTAAATTACAGATTGGTTTTGTCCTGTATCCTCCCAGTGGGGCTCCTGCATGGAATCTGATGGATCATGACAACATTATGTTTCTCACCATATGCTTTTGTTGGCATTATGCATTAAGCTTTATCATCATTGGAGTGAATTATGCTTTTGTCACCAGGTAAGTTAGTTATTTCTGTTCGTGGAAGTTCTGTTCCTTGGTATATGATCATCAAGACTCAACAATGTTGAATTTAAAATTCAAAAGGGGATTTCATTCCTTACCATCCCACCAGATAGGGTAACATAGCAGAAAATTATCTGCAAACAGAAATTTGCAGTAAAAAGAATACATGCTGGTTTAATGTTGGAATAGCTCAATAGTATCTATGCTGTGCCTCTGACCCATGCATTACCCATCAATGCAGTGTTCTATGCCTGGCTGTCTTTGTATATGCCACTTGCTCTTCTGAATGGTCTCTCCACCCACCACCTGCAGTGAGGCCTCCGGTTACTCAGGTGTGCATACTTCAATTATAGTAGTTCTTAAGCTTGGAGTTAGTTTTTGACCAACATGTGAGTGTCTCATTAAATTCAAGTGCCTGATTAATTTGACATTTACTCTAATACGTCTAAAAATAAGATTCACTTGAATAATACATTTTTTTTGCAAAGATATAATATAATATTTCATGAATGGGTGAGGAGCAATATAATAGATTGATAAGAACACATATTCTAAGCTCCACTGTCTATCATATGTATGACCTTGGGCTAGTTACTTAACCATGTTAAATTTCAGCTTTGTTTTTGATTAATGGAAGTAAGTTGATTTTTGTGAGTGAAAGGTGTGAAAGGTGTGGGTCCTGCTTTAGCCTTCTACAGGTGGCTATCCAGTTTTCCCAGCACCATTTATTGAAAAGGGATTCTTTTCCCCAGCGTATGTTTTTGTCTGTTTTGTCAATGATTAGATGGCTATATGAGGATGGTTTTATGTCAGGATTCTCACATCTGTTCCACTGGTAAATAATCCTATTTTTTTGCCAATACAAGATTGTTTTAATTACTACAGCTTTGTAGTATAGTTTGATATCTGGCATATTAATAGGGCATCGTGTGCACAGACCCGAGCGCACAGCAGGCGCCATATTGTTTCCTCTCCCCGACCCTACCCGTGGCTTCCAGAGAGACAATACAGGACCAAGAGCACTAGGGAAAGGACCTTCCTTTTGGGCCCTACAGCTAACTAAGGGGAACTCAGACTGTGAGCTCTCTACCCGCCAGGCTCCCAGGTGCTGCTGGCACAGTGATCCCAGGAGAACGGGGCAGACCTGAAGCTGAGAGACATAGACCCAGCTTGGGCTCCCTGTGGGTGAATTGGGACTGGCACTCCTCCCTGGTGGGGATATAGTTTAAATTCTGGGACCCAGAGGTCGGACCTGCAGGACCAGATCCCTGCACCAAGGTCTCACATTGCCTGGGTACAGAAGGGATATACGGGAACAGCCTACTGAGGTGTGTGTGTCTTCAGGGGCAGATCAGCATTCTAGAGGGTAACCCTCCTCCCAAAAGAAGGCCGTGCCCCCAGCCGAGGTGGCAGTTTCTGCGCAGGGAACCTCCCCGCCGGCCATCAGGGTCCAGGGAGGCCTGGGTGGCGTGTGTCTGGCCTGCTGGCAGAGGCCCAGGAGTAGCCGTGGAGTTGGAAGGGTGGAAAGAAGCGAAGGCCTGCTCCAGACTGAGGGTCTCAGACAGCCCTACCCCCACACGCAGAATCTGTGACTGATCGGGGGCCATTCCAGCCCTCCCTGACAGCTTTTCCTGGAAGCAGAGAACAGAACTTTGACCCCTGAAAACGACATTGGTGGTGCCTGAGGGAAGCTTACCCAACCCAGCTCCGCAAAGACCTCTCCTAGACCAGCCGTCACTGAGGGGGAGAAAAGGACACACCTGGAAGTCCCAGGGCCCCACGACCACCTGAGGCACTAGGTGCCTATCTACAAGAACAAAGCTGATAAAGAACACAAAAACACAGCATAGCTATTCCTGCAAGCAAGCAGCCACTACGACAGGGAGGACTCCTGCAGCATCATTTTCACAGCACTACTGACTCATCTATACAGCAGTGGTCAAATCAAGAGACACATACCGTAGGCTCATAAACTAAACAAGGCTGTGTATACCCAACAAAACCTAAAGAAAGAAACAACAACTGATTGACATGGGAGAAAAAATCACCAAAGGAACTCTGGAAAATGAAGAACCAAATGAAAACACCCAAGGGGAGGCACAGCCCCTAGAAACAGACACCAACCAACACCAGGCAACCAAAATGACAGAAGAGGAATTTCATATTGGATATAAGAACACTCACTGACCTGCAAGAACAACTCAATAACCAACCAATGAAACCTCAAAAAGCCTCCAGGACCTAAAGACAAAAGTTCACTAAGAAATAGACACAATGAAGAAAAGTTAACCGAACTCCGTGGAAATGAAGAATCATTCTGGAATTACAAAATAGTGAAGAGTCTCAGAACAGGGTAAGATCAAACAGAAAAAAAAATTCGAGATTGAAGTACCTTCCAACTAAATAAAACAGTCACAGAGATAGAGCAGAGAAACAAGAGAAACGAGCAAAGCTACAAGAGATGTGGGATTAGTGAAGAAACTAATGTGAGGGTCATAGGGTTACCAGAAGGGGAAGAAGACAACACCCAAGGGTTGGACAAGCTTGTTGAAGATATAATAGAGGAAAATTTCCCAGGCCTTGCTCAAAATCTCGATATACAAGTTCAAGAAGCCCAGAGGACCCCTGGGAGATCAATGCAAACAGGAAGACGTCACGACATGCAGTCATCAGACTGACCAAAAATATCAACTATGAGCCTTCTAAGAGGCTGTAGACAGAAGAAGCAAGTAACATACAAAGAAAGCCAATTCGAATAACACCAGACTTCTCCCTAAATGAGACTTTACAAGCAAGGAGAGATCTGGACCCCATTCTCCTCTGCTGAAACAACATCCCAGCTGGAATCTTATTCCTGAAAACTTAAGCTTCATAATATGAAGGAGAAATAAAGACATTCCCAGACAAGCAAGCTCCGAGAATTCACCTAGACAAGACCACCTACAGAAGAACTCAAAACAGTGTTATGCACAGAAGCACCATAAATAAAATCACGAATTACTAAAAACAACCAAAACCAAAGATTAAGCCAGATAATACAAGGCCTCACGAGATAAATCAAAGCAAACATCCCAACCCAACAGAAGAACAATAATGCTACCTTACCTATCAGTTCTCTCAATAAATGTGAATGGGCTTAAACTCTCCACTCAAGAGACCATAGTGGCTGAATGGAATAAGAAAAATACAAGGCCAAGTATACAGCTGGTCTTTAGGAAACCACATCTAACCCCCAAGGATGCACATAGAAGTAAAAAAAAGGGTGGAGAATAATTCCAAGCAAGATGGAAGCGCAAAAGAAGCTGGCATAACAGTCCTAATTCAGAATGATTTAGTTTTTAAACGAACAAAGTATGAAAGACAAGAGGGTCATTATATGATGGGAAGGCACACTTCAAAGAGAGCAGATAACAATTTTCTTTTAAATATATTACGTACACGCAACCTTAAGGTGCACCCAGATCATAAAGCAAACCTTACTGGAGCTAGCAAAATGGATTAATAGCCAACTCGCATAAATCACCGGAGAATTTTCAACACCCAACCTGATGGCACAAGACAGATCCTCCCAACAGAAAATTATAAAGAAATAATGGACTTACAAAACTCTAGAACAATTGGGTCATGAACTGACATTTTACAGGATTATTTGATCCAAACCACTGCAATGATACGGTTCTTCTCAATCAGCTCAAGG